GGAATTTGGAGAGTTCCAGCCACTCCAGCTCTCTCCCCTGGCGATGCTCTCACTCCCTCCATCCTGCAAGAGCCACTCTGTCCCCCTCCCACTGCCCATCCAGCCTCTGGAGAGGGAAGGAAGTCTTACTCTCCCACCCCCACCCCCAGCTGCCTCTGAGAGCAGAAATCCTCCTTTCCTGGCACACCTCAGAGGCTCAGATCTCACCCCCTACCACTCCCCCAGGAGAGCCGGGGGCCACTGTTTCCTGGATTATCCTAAAAGCTTTGGAGGCCGTGAGGACTTGGCAGCACCCCTGCCCACACCTCTCACCTCCCCCTCTGCTCTGACTGTCGCCTCCTTTATAAAGCCTGGCTCTGCCAACACCCCCACTTGCCCCTCACCACTGCTGCCAGCTCCGGGCTCCATGGACTGGTAAGAGGCTCCCTGTCCAGGTCAGGGGATGGAGGTCTCCACTCACATGGGGAGTGTCGAGAAGGGTTTGGAAGTCTTGATTTTTCTCGGAATTGGGGAGGGGAAGGGAAGAGAGAGATCTTGAAGGGCTCCGTATGGAGAACCAAAGAGCATTCCTTTGGGGGGGTCTTTGGAGGGCTGGGCTGAGATCTGAGGGAGAAGTGGATGGATTCGCCAGTTAACCGATGACAGGGGGTGTCATTCTGATGGGTGGGCAAACGTTAATAGACCTCACAGAAGTCCCTGCATGACAAACACCCGCAAGGGTAGCAGGGGGAAATCACGGTGCCTATCCCGTGGGGAGCTCCCTTTGTCATAGAGAAGAAGACAGACAACCCACATCCAAAGGCACACACGGCAAGATAAGTGCACACAGGTGTCATGTGCTCACACACATGTGTAGGTTACCCCCTCCCACCCAACATACAGATGCACTGTCCCCAGCGAGGTTCAGCTTTCAGACTGAGATGGATGTGGATGTCAGCGATGATTGGATTTATGGCAGAACTGATGTCCAGCCCAGTGAGTGGCCCTAGGTAGACCCTCGGTAAGTGTTTGCTGAACGAACAATGGATGAACGAAAAGATACCACGTAGCCCCAGCTCTGGACTCAGTCAGTGTCCCAGGAGCCTGGGACAGTGGTGGGAAGAAGAAAGGAAAGGAGAAATGGGTTGGTGTGCAAGGTCACCAGCTTGCAGTTCTCCTAATGCAGCTTGGCAAGGGGTGTGGGGATGAGATAAGACTGAGCAACCAGGAAACCAAGAAGTAGGAGAATGGGGCTCTGGTCCCTGTTTTGCTTTTAGCGTGCTGTGTGATGTCGAGTAACTTGCCTCTCTGTTCTGCGTGGTTTCCCTAATAGTGAAATGAGGGCTTGCACTCGACAATGGTGATGGGTAGTCCGGCTTAGATATTCTCACAATGCAATCTCCAAGGAAGACAGCTGAGCTTTGGAAGGGACCACAGATGTAGCTGTGACTTGTCCCAACAATTCCAGACAGCTTTGATCTCGGGATCAGCTTAAGAACGCTGTCCCCTCCACCTTCAGGATCAAGGGGAGCCAGACTCCCAGAGCCATCACCAATGCCACAGCGAGGCTGGGTGGAGTAGTAGGCAGTGCATAGGCGTCAGAAATCTGAACTTGATTTCCTTCTCGGTCTCTTAACAGCTGTGTAATCTTGGCCAGGCCCTTTTACTTCTTTGATGCTTAGGAGAACTCCCCATCTGTACAATGGGAATCATAATAACTACTTAGCTGCATGCTGATGAGAATGAAAGGCATGTGGATAAAGCGCCCCGAATATAGTAGATGCTCAGTAAATAAATGTGAGTTATGATAAAATTGGGGACTAATGAGGCTGTTCCATGTACAAAATGGATTGCCAACTATCAATGAAGCATGAGAATAGGAGTGGCAGGAATGGGAGATGAACTCTCGTGTCAAAATATGTCTACCCCTTTGAGGGAATAAGGGAGAAGGGCAGGAATGGCCCAAGTCCTGGGCAGATCCAGTTTGTGTGGGATGCGTGGTGGGCAGCATTGTTCATTTTGAGATAACACTGGGCAGTTATGTCAACATCAGACCTGAGCCCTGTTCGGGAGGAAAGTGCCTGGCAGGCAGGAAGTGGAAAGGGCTGGAACCAGAGGAACGCAAGTAGAAAGTCATCTGGAAGGAAGACAGCGAGTGCCCGGAGTCAGAAGCAGAAACCTGGGCAGGACGGGAAGTCAGAATGGCTGTGCTGCCAACACAACTGCATTACTGTTAATGTTTGGAATGTTTATATTGATTTTAGAAAGGGAGATGGATAGAGAGATTGGGACATTGATTGGCTGCCTCCTGCATGTCCCCCACTGGAGATGGAGCCCACAACCCAGGCATGTGCTCCTACTGGGATTCCAACCTGTAAACTCTTGGTTTATGGGTCCAATGCTCAACCATTGGCCCTCACCTTCGGGGCCATGACTGTTCATTTTCACGCCAATAAGCCACAGGCAGATGGAGGGTCTTTGCTTCTGAGAATGCAGATGTGTTCAGGTCAGGGTGGGGTGGGGTTACAGGGAGCCTGGAGAGAAAGTGGGATGTCTACCATCTGGGGACTGGATCCCCATTCCTATTGCTTTAAGGGTGTTAGTGCCTCAAGAGCAGTAGCTTTGGGAGAAGCCAGAAGGTTAGAGGGCTTCAGAGAGGAGGGGGCAAGGAATGCCTAGGGGTCGAATGGGACTTAACCCAAGAATCTGAGTCACAGGCTCTGTGACATGAGCCCCAAACTCTGTTCTAGTCACGGCTGTGGACTGGGATGCAAACGCAAATAGCCAACATTTGCAGGTTGAGTGAACAGAAATTAGAAACATGAGGACAGCCTGGCCGGCGTGGCTCAGTGGTTGAGCATCGACCTATGAACCAGGAGGTCATGACTGGATTCCTGGTACCAGTGCACATGCCCAGGTTGCAGGCTGGATCCCCAGAGTGGGATGTGCAGGAGGCAGCCAATCAATGTTTCTCTCTCATCCCTGATGTTTCTATCTCTCTCTCCCTCTCCCTTTCTTAAGTCAATAAAACTATATAAACACACACACACACACACACACACACACACACACGAGGTTAGAGATGGTTGGCAATGTATTAGGGGCCACAAAGATCCAGAGCAATTCTTGGCAATCTGTGCTTCAGGGGCCTGAGTATGGGGAAGAAGGAAACCCTACGGATCAGGATCAGAAAGTACAACCCTGATGTGATGGAGTGGGGGGTGGAGAGGCGCCTTCCCGGCTTTCCAAGCCCCAGTCCTTTGGCTCTGACGAGCAGCGGCTCTAACCCAGAGGCTTGTAGCTTAGCAAGTCCAAGGCTGGGGCTAGAATTCAATCCTAGGACTTTTGTGAATATTCCCTAATCTAATAAACATTTGCTGGGAGCCGACTTTTTAAATAATTATTAACAACAACAACAATGATACTTTCCGTGTTCGGTGAGCTCACCAGGCACCCACGGGGCTGGGTATTTTAACCACATCAATTCCTGGAAGCCCCCGGAAGCTCTCCCAAACTCGTCCTGGGGTTGTTCTGATGGGGAAACTGAGGCACAGAAAAGAAGATGCGCAGATAAACCAGACATGGGCTCTGGAGGTGAGAGCGCGCGTGATTCTTGGGAAACCAAAAACGAAGACGGAGCTTCCAGGTGGCGTGTGGACGGGTTAGCCGGTTAGTATTATAGGTGGCACTTGGGTGGCGTCGCGAACGGGAATGCAAGGCTGGTAAACCTACGTCGCGGCCAGACAACACACACACAAGACGCGAACCTTTAAAAAGCCGGTGGCACGCGCTCAGGGACAGCCAACTGGTGCAACAAAAAAATACAATTGATCAGTTTCTCTACAAGACAAGCGTCGCCTGGGGAAGTCAACGTGGCGGGCAGAGGAGACACAACCGGGAAGAGGGCAGCATCGGACTAACGGGGTGCGCGGCTGGGCAGGTGGGGGGTGGAGGGCGGCGGAGAAGGGTCCCGCGCTTCCCACCGGCGCGCGCCAGGCACCTCCACCCGCTCGGATCTGGAGAGAAGGTGGGAGCTGCGAGCGCTCAGACGTTTGGCCGGAAAGCTGCCTCGTTTGTATCAAAGGAACCCTAGACCCTTCTTCCCCTGCGCTAAGAGCCTGAGTGTCCGGCACCGCGGTGAGACTCCGGAAGGAGTGGCGGCGGGGGTCCCTCCGCTCGGGCGCGGCTCTGGCTTTGGGGCCGGGCGCGCGGGGCGCGGTGGCGGGCAATGTGAGCGGGGATGGGGGGTGAGTCGGCGCCGAGGTAGCAGCTGCCGAAGGGAAGATGGAGAAGGAAAGCCCCGGGGCCTGGGAGGTGAGCGGCCGGCAGAGATGGGCCAGAGGGGCAGCTGATGGGAAAGAAGAGGAGGCGGTCACTCTGCAAAGGCGCGTGGCCGGAGAGGAAGAACTGGAACCCCAGCGAGAGCAAGGACGGGGGAGGGAGGTGGTGCTGTAGAGAGGTGGGGGGGGGGGCAGGGGAGGAGGGAGCAGCCCAGATGAGTTTCTCACGGCCTGGGGCTGGCAGGAGAGCGGACAGACGCCTGGCGCTCCGTCCTGCTTCCTTCTCCTCTCGGTTCCCAGGCAGCGCTCGGGGGCGAGGGTCGTGGAGGCCAAGGGCGCCCTAGGGTGGCTCAGGATCAGCCCGGGGCCCGCCCCCTCTTTGTCCCCCCCACCCCCCGTCGGAGTGAGCCCGCGTCCGCAGCCCTACCCAGCCAGCTCCCGGGCAGCTTTCCTCCCCGCCCGGGACCCGGGAGACACTACTGGGAGACCCGGAGGGGCGAGGAGGAGCGAGGGAGGCGGCGGGAGGCGACCTAGATAGCGACCCCGCCCCCATTCCCTCCCGCCCGCTCCCCGCGGCCCGGCCCGCCGCGCCTCCCGCCCGCCGCGCCCGCAGGGGTTAAGGCGCCGCAGGTGCGGGGGGCGGGGCCCGGCGCCGGGAAAAGGGGGCGCGGGCCCGGGATGCAGGCAGAGCGCGGTGAGTCACGGCGGCGCTGGCCTCGCTCGCTCGCTCGCTCGATCGATCGCTGGCTCCCGCCGCCCTCCGCCCTCCTCCGCCGGGTCGGGTCGCGGCCCCCGCTCGCCCTCGGCCGGAGAGCCCGCCCGCGCCCAGGCCCTGGAGCGCCCGCCGGGAGCGCGCCGGCCCGCCGAGCCCGGAGCCCGCGCAGCCTCCAGGTAGGAGCCCGGTCCTGGCGGCGCGGGGTGCGCGCCCCCGGGGTCCCCTCGGAAAGACGCACCCCAGCTTCCCTCCCGGGACCCTGGGGGAGCAGAACCCGAGTGGCTCAGAGCCCCAGCGGAGAGGAAACTGGGCGGACGGGAGAGACTGGAGGGACCGAGGAGACAGACGGGGAACTGGGGAAACTGGAGCGACTGGGACAACCGGCGGACTTGAACCTTAAGGACGGGGAGTCCGACCGCCGCCTGAGCCCGGGGTCCGGAGAGGCAGGCGGGGGTCCGAGAGGCAGCGGGGAGGAGGGGATCGGGGTCTCCGGCCGCCTTCCCGCGACGGGGCCGCGGAGCCGGGAGGGTGCGTCCTGCGGGCTCCCACCCCGAAACCCTGAAACCTGGGCGGCAGCCGTGCACCCGGGGCTCGGGCTCCCTGCCCTGGGCCGGGAGGGGCCCTGCGGTGGAGCCGGGGTCCTTAGCCTCCCCACCCCCTTAGCCTCCCCACCCCCTAGCCTCCCAGGCGCCAAGAGCTGTTAGGGTCCCAGGCCGCCCCGTGCCGCCCGGCCCCTCCCGGGCTGCCCCGCCTGGGCCCGCGGCTCCGCTCCGGCAGCTTCGCCCTGTTCCTTTCTTGTGGTGAGGCCGCCGGAGCCTGAGTAGGCGCCCCGGCCCCCCTCTCTCTCCCCCTGCCAGGCTCCCGCGGCCACCTCCCTGCTCCCGAGGCAGGAGGCAGCAGGGTCAGCGGAGCCCCGCCGCCGGGGAAACACCCGCCCAAACCAGAGACCTCCGCTGCCGATCAGATAGGAACCCCACACCTGGGTCTCCCGAGCCTTAGGGAGGGGTGGCGAGAGGAGGGGGACCTAACATCACAGATACGTGGGCCAGAAAGGAGTGCAGGTCTTCAGGGTCCCCATGGCCCAGGGAAAGTGGAGAGACCTGGTTCACAGAGATACAGACAGCACATACTGTGTGTGTGTGTGTTTCAGTCCTCACCAGAGGATATTTTTCCATTGACTTAAAAATATATATATATATTTTATTGATTTTGTACAGAGAGGAAGGGAGAGAGATAGAGAGCTAGAAACATCGATGAGAGAGAGAGTAATCGATCAGCTGCCTCTTGCACATCCCCTACTGGAATGTGCCCGCAACCAAGGTACATGCCCTTGACCGGAATCAAACCCGGGACCTTTCAGTCCCCAAGCCAAAGCTCTATCCATTGAGCCAAACCGGTTTCGGCTGATTTTTTTTTTTTAAGAGAGTGAGTGGGAGAGGAGACATCGAGAGAGAAACATTGATGTGAGAGAGACATCGATTGGTTGCCTCCCGCTTGCACCCGGACCAGGGCTGGGGATTGAGCCTGCAACCGAGTACATGCCCTTGACCGACATCAAACCTGGGACCCTTCAACACACAGGCTGACGCTCTGTCCACTGAGCCCAACTGGCTAGGGCCATGCTTGTTGATGGAATGAATAAATGAGCGTCTTTGTTCAAGTCACTTCTCCCAATACTGCCTCAGTTTCCTCTTTTATAAAAAGAAGAGTGTTAGTCTGAGCGGTAGACCTCAACATTTGGTTGCATGTTAGAATCATCCGTGGGACTCCTATCAATGGCCCAGTTGGCTGAAGCATCATTCCATACACCAGAAAGTGGGAGGTTTTATTCCCAGTCAGGGCTCTTTCTCTCTCTCATCTTCCTTTGAAGTTAATTTTTAAAAATGATTAAGTGAGCCTCTTAGTTATTAGAACTTACTAGTTATATTCTTTAAAAAACAAATAAAATAAAAATGACCCACGCCCAGAATACATCCCTTTATGAAAAACTTCTTTGGGCAATTCTTCCTCTTAACTTCTGTGATTCTGGCTTTTCTGTTGCCCTCTGCTTCCCCCCCCCCCCCCCCTGCATCCCTTAAGGAGTTTTGTTTGTTTGTTTTTTTTGTGTGTTTTTTTTTTCCTTTTCTTTTTTTAGTATTTTCCTTTTTTCTTGTTCTTCTTAAATAGCTGCTAAATATCTATATCTATTTGAATATAGGCATATATAGATATAGTTAGTGATTTCAGAGTGGAAGGGATAGGGAGAGAGAGATAGAAACATCTATGACGAGAATCATTGACCCGCAGCCTCCTGCACACCCCCTACTGGGGATGAAACCTGCAACTGGGGCGTGTGCCCTTGACTGGAATCGAACTGGGGTCTCGGCAGTCCACCAGCCAATGCTCTATCCACCGAGCCAAAGGGCTAGGGCAGGAGTGTCAGTTTTACCTTCGTGAACTTGATGGTAAACTCTCTTCCTGACCCCCTTCTCTGGGGAAGCCAACCCCTTCCGCCCGCTTCCATGGGAAGAGGGCCTGGGTAGCAGCAGCCAGAGAGAGCTGGCTGGCAGCAGTGCGGGGCGGGACCGGGGAGGGGGCTTAACTTTCTCTGGTGGCCAGAGGGCCCCCAGAAACAGCACTGGCTGAACCCCCGGGCGGTGAAGTCCTCACCCAAGGGAAGCGTGAGGGCCCGGGCAGGGAGCTGGGGAGAGTGAGGTTGGGCAGTGAACATGCCTCCGAGATGGAATTCGGGGTTTTTGTTTTCTTTTCCAAAACCCCAGAATCTGCTTTGGGCTTTGAGAAGTCAGATAACCTCAAGCTCTGGGTTTCAGAAGCGGGCCTCCTCCCTCTCCCCACCTGTACCCCGAGGTAAAGTGGGAAAGCTGCGATGGGCCGGCAGCAGGTCTGCTGGGGAAAGCCCTGCCCTGCGCGGGCCTGGGCAGCCGGGGCAGGCAGGGTGAGCAGTCCTGTAGGAGTGCCCTCCCCACCAGCCTGGGACCAGCCCAGCTCCCAGGATGAGCTGGGTCCTCCAGGAGAGATAACCTAGGCCCATGGTCGGCAACCTACGGCTCGCGAGCCACATGCTGCTCTTTGGCCCCTTGAGTGTGACTCTTGCACAAAATACCGCGGCCTGGGCGGGTCTATGTTGAAGAAGTGGCCTTAGAAGAAGTTTAAGTTAAAAAAATTTGGCTCTCCAAAGAGATTTCAATCGTTGTCCTGTGAATACCTGGCTCTGTGGACTGATGAGTTTGCTGACCACTGATAGGGGAAGGTAAACTTCCATCATCCTCTGCCCTTGGCGGAGACCTTCACCTCCTCAAGGCTTCTGTAGCTCTCTCAAATCCTCTGAACGGATCTTGAGTCCCCCAATCGGAGGTGGCATTTCTCTTCTCACCTGGGGGCGGGGAGAGGGAGGAGCGCTTCGCAGGGAGGGGACCGGGTTGGGACGGAAGGGGAGCTGGTGGTTTTGCTCACTCCACCTCTTCTCTGCCTCCTGTAGGTCTCACCTGAGGTGCCCCTGACGGTCCCTGCCCCCCAGCGCCCCCCGCACCCCGGCAATGCTAACCGCTGTCTGCGGCTCTCTGGGCAGCCAGCACTCGGACGCGCCTCACGCCTCGCCTCCGCGCCTGGACCTGCAGCCCCTCCAGACATACCAGGGCCACACGAGCCCGGAGGCGGGGGACTACCCCTCCCCGCTGCAGCCTGGGGAGCTGCAGAGCCTCCCGCTGGGCCCTGAGGTGGACTTCTCGCAGGGCTATGAGCTCCCGGGGGCCTCCTCCCGCGTAACCTGCGAGGACCTGGAGAGCGACAACCCCCTGGCCCCGGGACCCTTCTCCAAGCTCCTGCAGCCAGACATGTCACACCACTACGAGTCGTGGTTCCGGCCGACTCACCCGGGCACCGAGGATGGCTCCTGGTGGGACCTTCACCCGGGGACCGCCTGGATGGACCTCCCGCACACGCAGGGCGCGCTGGCCTCCCCTGGCCACCCGGGGGCGCTGCAGGCCGGCCTGGGGGGCTACGTCGGAGACCACCAGCTCTGCGCCCCGCCGCCCCACCCGCACCCGCACCACCTCCTCCCGGCCGCCGGGGGGCAGCACCTCCTGGGGGGGCCTCCCGACGGTGCAAAAGCCCTGGAGGCGGTGGCCCCGGAGGCCCAGGGGCTGGATTCCGGCCTGGACGGGGCGGCGCGGCCCAAAGGCTCCCGGCGCTCCGTGCCCCGCAGCTCCGGCCAGACCGTGTGCCGCTGCCCCAACTGCCTGGAGGCGGAGCGGCTGGGGGCGGCTCCATGCGGGCCCGACGCGGGCAAGAAGAAGCACCTGCACAACTGCCACATCCCCGGCTGCGGCAAGGCCTACGCCAAGACGTCGCACCTGAAGGCGCACCTGCGCTGGCACAGCGGCGACCGGCCCTTCGTGTGCAACTGGCTCTTCTGCGGGAAGCGCTTCACGCGCTCCGATGAGCTGCAGCGCCACCTGCAGACGCACACGGGCACCAAGAAGTTCCCCTGCGCCGTCTGCAGCCGCGTCTTCATGCGCAGCGACCACCTGGCCAAGCACATGAAGACGCACGAGGGCGCCAAGGAGGAGGCTGCGGGCGCGGCCCCGGGCGCCGAGGGCAAGGCCGGCGGCGCGGCGGAGCCCCCCGGGGGCAAAGGCAAGCGGGAGGCGGAGGGCGGCGCCGCTCCCTCCAACTGAGCGCCTCCCGCGGCCTCCCCGCTGGCCTGCCTCCCCCGGGCATGGGGCATGGGGCATCGGAGAGAGCCGGCCGGCCTGGGTCCCGGGGGGCGGCTTGGGGGGAGCAGAAGGTGCTTATTTATTGAGAGGGGTGAGAGGCGGTGTGGGGTCGGGGAGAGGGGGCGCTAGCGGTGTTGTAGTGTCTGTGGCCGGACAGGACGCGTTGGCCTGTTGGGCTGGCCGGGATGTGCTGGGGGGAGGGTGGGGAGCTGCGTGTGCCCCTCCGTTCTGGGGTCCCTCCGCGGGAGGGATGCGACGGCCGGAGGGCGGAGGGGACGCGCACCCCGGGAACACGGAGGCCGGGGCCGCCCCTGCGCCCGCCCCGCCGGGGGGACCTGTCTGGACGCGCCCTCGGCGCCTGGGAACCAGGACATAAAAGCGCCTCCGGATCCGCCCTGTGGCCTGGCCCCTTTCATCCCCTCCTGGTCCTTTCCCCGGGGTTTCCGGAGGGAGAGCCGAGACTGGGCAGGGAGGCTGAGGGTCCCCTTCGGGGAGGGCTCTCGCTTGGCCTGGGAGGCTGTGGCTGTAAAAGGAACTCCTTTGGGGCGCCTCCTGGTCACCCTTCCAGACCCGGCGTGATGGAGCCATGAGGAAAGGCGGGAGAGGGCCGGAGTCCGGGCAGCTTCCCGGCTAGCCCTCCCTGTGGGGCGGAGAGAGGAGACCGGTGTGGGGCAAGCAGGTCCCCTTCTGAGAGGAGAGGAAGCATTGTAATGGGGAATGGGAGAAGCAGACCCCTTCCGTTTGGAGCTCGGATTCGGTCCTTTGCTCTCGGTCTTGATGACAAATAAGGTTCAGTAGTCCCCACTCCCCATCTGACACCCCCAGCCCCTCCTCCACCACCCTGGGAGCTTTAGAGGCTGCCAGGAGCCCCCGCTCTAGAATTCATGTAGTTCCTCATCCTAGGCTCCCCACCATCTGCCTCCCCCCGCGGGGATGGAAGTGACGGGGTGACCACGGCTTGTGGCTTGTGGGGGTCAGGAGGGGGTGCCCCAGCAGAGGGAGCTTGGGGCCCCTCCTGTAGGGGGTGTGTGTGGGCCCCATCCCTCTCCACAGGAGTGGCTCTCCCACCGGGAGGGGGCTGCCTCCTGGGCAGAAGGGAGGGAGGAGTCCAGCAGAGGCGAGGGGGGGCAGGAGCCGGGGAGGGGAGAGGGTGGAGCGAGCGGACTCTCCCGGGCTTGATATGGAGGCAGCAGGGTTCCCCCTGACCTCCCCTCTTCCCTTGCAAAGCCTTTTGTGAGGATTAGTTGTGTATTGGTTTTTAAGTTATAAGCAAAGGGTATTTTATTTAATATTAGGGCATGTGTTTGTGCATATCGTGTGTGTATGTGAGTGCGTGCATGTGAGTGCGTGTGTGTGTGTGTGTGTGTGTGTGTGTGTGTGTGTGTTTCTCTACTGAGCCTGTGGTCTCCAGCCAGGGAGACCCTACCTTGTTCACCCCGTCCAAGGCCCCGGGCTTTGGGCCTGCGGTGTCTCTTCCTCCTTCGGGGACGGGGGGCCCAGTCCCAGGAGCTCACTGGGAAACGGGGCTGGGATCTGGGTGGGAGTGTGTGTGTGTAGAAGGGAGTCCTTCCATGGGACAGGGTGACTCTCCCAGCAGGACGCCTGGGCCTGGGGTAGTGTAAGAAATAATGTTCTTTCTTTCTGTTCCCTCTGACCCCCTGCCTCCTGCTCACCCAGCCTGAGGTCCCCTTCCTTGGCGCGAGGGTTGGGGGCAGGAGCGAGCTGGCAGTGCCCGCAGGTTGCCGGGCCGGGAGAGGGGGGGGAGAGAGGGAGGGCACCGTGGGTGTGAGATGCCTTTCTCCTCCACCCATCGAAACCAGCCGCCACCTCCCTGCGCTGCTGGGACGGCGGCTTTCCCAGTGACCATCCGACGGGGAACTCCCCGAGGGAGCGTTGGTGGGGGTGGGGGACCTGGCCGCCCCCGCGTGGAGGCCCCCAGCTCCGAGGTGCCCGGTGAGGGCTTTGGTTAGGCTTTCTGTCTGCCCCCTTCTAGGCAGCCCCCTAGAGGAGAAATGTAGGAATTTTTTTTCTTTAACTGCTGTGAACCCACTTTGTTGGGGTGGGGGAGGGAGGAGAGGAAGAAGCAGCCTGTGTTTTTTATGCCACAATAAAGTCGTCAACCACATCGTTGCCTCATTTGTCTCCTAGCCCCGGCTTCCTCTCAGACTCGGTGTCCCCGAGCCTGAGGACCGGGCTGCTGCGGGGCGGGGCGGGCACTTCCCTTTGATCTGCAGCCCTGGGCAGCCTCGCCTCCCTGCCTTTGTTTGGGGCAGAGCTGAGCTGATTGAAGGGTCCGATCCTGCCCCGGAGGTGGCTGGTTCAGGGCGGGGGAGGAGCACCCTCTGGGCCGGGAGCTCTGCTGGCTGCCCCTCCCTGGTCTAACCTGTGCCGATGAGGAAGTTCCAGATGTTTCCTTCCTCCTCCACAGACGAGCCCCCTCTTTCCCCTCCCCTGCCAAGCACGCTGCCGGTCCCCGCCTTCCCCGAGACAGCCGGCCTCCCGCACCCTCCCCCCACATGGGGGTGTGTGTGTGTGTCAATCGGTCCTTCTGGCTGTGAGTACGAGTGAGCGGGGGTGACTGACAGCGATTTCTTCACCCAGATGATCTCTATCGGGAACGAGGCGATGAAAGCAGCCAGCATATCTGATGGGCGGCCGCCCAGCTGGAAGGCGGGAGGGGAAGGCAGCTGCGACTCCCAGAGAGAGACCCGCCGGTTACCCAACCGGCCGCGCACTGCGCCCGCGCCGCCCGCGCCGGACCGGGGCGCCCGCGCACACGCAGCGCTGCCCGTCCGCGCACTTTCCCAGGCCGCCCGGAGCCTGGTATGTAGTTGGTGCCTAATTAATGCCAAATGAGTACAAAACCCCAACTCCAGCCAAAACCGGTTTGGCTCAGTGGGTAGAGCGTCGGTCTGTGGACTGAAAGGTCCCAGGTCAAGGGCCTGTACCTTGCTTGCGGGCACATCCCTGGTAGGGGGTGTGCAGAAGGCAGCTGGTCAATATTTCTATCGATGTTTCCAGCTCTCTATCCCTCTCCCTTCCTCTCTGTAAAAAACCAATAAAATATATTTTAAAAAACTGAGGATCCAGCCCTCACCCCGGGCATGTGCCCCGACTGGGGATTGAACCGTGACCTTCTACAATAGTTTGTCGGTTGACACTCAACCACTGAGCCACGCTGGCTGGGCAGGTGTGACTCAGTGGTTTTTCACTTTCCCATTCTACTTTTTTTCTTCTTCCCCAAAACTGTTCTTTCTTTATCTAATGGGATTTCTATTCCCCCCACTCTAACCCTAATCCAGTTTCTCAGAACCAAATCTGGTACCTGTCACAGGTTTGGGCCTGGGGCACCAGAATGATGTGGGGGTCAGACAGGAAGCCACACTGGTGTGTATGTGTGTGTGTGGGTGGGGGGGGGGGGGCAAAAGTTTGTTCCAATCTGCTCCTGAGTTAGCATCTGGGAGGACAAGGAGCAGGTGTGTTCTGTGACCTCATGCCCGCCCCACTTCTTGGGGCGCTCTTTTGTTCCCCTGGTTCTGGGGGATTTAGACCCCAGGAACCCGGTGAGCCCTCTCCTGTCCCCCCAGCGCCGTCTCCAGGGCGCGGAGGGCAGCTCTGGGGCCGGCTGGGCCTGTCTGGGCAGGGCCGGGGCTGCCCCTCCTCCCGGGGCAGCTCCTCCCGCTGACCTGCATTCTTAGCGGGGGCCTTTGGCGGGGCGCTGGCGCTCCCTCGCCTTGACAGCAATGCTGCCTGGCTGGCCTGGCCCCCTGAGGGAGCCCAAGGCGGCCACCTCTGACCCTCAGGTCAGGAGCCCCTGCAGGAGGAGCTGGGAGGGAGGGAGGGAAATCAGAGCATCTGCACTGACCCTTCGGGCGGCTTCTCGGAGCCGCCGTCTCCTCTCCCCGGACGTGGGAGTAGGATTCCGAGGTGGGGAGTGAAATTGGAATGGAAAGTGGCAGGAGCCGGCAGCCTGGGAACCGCCGCCTGGGGCTGTGCGGCAGCGACGCCGCCTCTCCTCCTGCCGGTCCCGCCCCCTAGCGGGGAGCCGGGGAAGTGCAGGCGGAGAACCAGCTTTCTCGCTGGCCGCTTCGTATATGTGCTGCCGAAGCGAGCACTTCGCTGGCCGCTTCGGCGGCGCTCTGGTCAGCCCACAGCCTTGGTGTTTGTTTCTGGAAATGCCCTGCAATGGCAACCTTACCGCCCCTCCCTGACGCTGCACCCAAAGCAGCCTTCCCCTCCGCATCAGCCCGGGAAACTGGACTGCTCAGCGTCCCGTCCCAGAAGTGTGGGTTTGCAAAGAATCTCAGGAACCAAACAGTCCTGTTGTTCCCAATCGGTAGACTATTCGGATCACCTGTGGAGTTTTCCAAGCTACCGAGATTTGCCGAAACCGGTTTGGCTCAGTGGATAGAGCATCCGCCTGCGGACTGAAAGGTCCCAGGTTCGATTCTGGTCAAGGGCAGGTACCTTGGTTTCGGGCACATCCCCAGTAGGGGGTGTGCAAGAGGCAGCTGATCGATGTCTCTCGATGTTTCTAACTCTCTCTCTCTTCCTCTCTGTAAAAAAATCAATAAAATATAAAATGAAATAAAAAGATACCGAGGTTCCCTCCCCCGAACTCCACCCCGGTATGCCCCCAGGGGCTGTATTAGAGCAGCTTCTCACATGTCATACCCGAAGTCCGGTGAACATGCAGCTTCTCATCCAGGAGGTCTGAAGTGGGGCCCAAGTTTCTACAATTTTCACACGCTTTCAGATGATGCGGATGCCGTCAGTCTGCCAACACTTTGATAGCAGAGGATGTAAGTACCGTGTTGTGCAGTGGGAGTTGTGTGGCTGAAAAACAGCCACCCTGGCTGGGAAGCTCAGTCGGTTGGAGTGTTGTCCCGATACACCAAGGTTGCAGGTTCAATCCCCAGTTAGGACACAAACAAAAGTCAACCAAGGAATGAAGGAATAAAGTGGAACAACAAATCGATGTTTCTCTCTCCCCCTTCCTCTCTCTCTCTCATATCAATCAATCAATAAAAATGAAAAAATATTGCCCTAGCCTGTTTGGCTCAGTGGACAGAGTGTTGGCATATGGACGGAAGGGTCCCGGGTTTGATTCCGGTCAGGGGTACATGCCCAGGTTGTGGGCTCAATCCTGAGGGGGGTGGTGTGTGGGAGGCAACCAATCAGTGATTCTCTCTCATCATTGATGTTCCTCTTTCTCCCTGTCCCCTCCTCTCTGAAATAAATAAAAATACATTTTTTTTTAATGAAAAAATTAACCCTCCCTCAGCCCACCTGTGGTTGAGAACCACGGAGGCCTTCACAGGGTATGTGACCTGCCCAAAGAGACAGCACAAAAGCAAGCTCAGATGCCAGTCCGCAGAGTTCCAGGCAAGGCTCTGCCCAGCTTCTAGGTCATTCTTCCGTTCAAGTGGCAGTCCCCTTCCTGAAAGTGCAGCCCATCTCCCTGGAGACAGCATCTCCTTAGGATACCTGAGGGCATTTAGGAAACATCTCAGGTTTCAGGCCCCCAACAAACAGCCTTATCTGCCAGGTCTCCTCCCGCCATGGCCAAGCACACCCGCCTGCAGCCTGCCTCCGGGCTGAGCCTCAGCCTCTGCCTTCATTCCCACTCCAGGAGAGACCTGATACAGCAGTAGCACTGGTTGTGTGGCTGGTGGATGTGGGGGAAAACAGATAATCTGAAGTGTCTCCCCCATTCCTGAGGACTTCACAGAGCAAAGGCGATGAGATGCATTTGCTTAAAAGCTGGACACGATGGAGATCGCTTACAGAGGAAAACGACCCAGGAAGCAGAACACTTGCGACCAAGACTTCTGTTTCAGCTTCACGGTGTGTAAAGACGCCGTATCTTTGGAGTAGAAATTTCCAAATGTTGCTACAAAGCACTGGGGGCGGGGGGGGGGGGGAGAATCAGTCTTTGGGGGTTGGATGGGTTTTATGTATAGGTGCCCTTCAAAAAGGTACTAACTTATGTATGTGTTCCCTTACACCTCCTGGCCTAGCCATTAAAAAAAAAAAACCTTTTCGCTCAGCTGGCGTGTATCAGTGATTGAGCGTGGACCTGTGAACCAGGAGGTCAGGGTTTGATGCCCGGGTTGCAGACTCAATCTGGTGTGGGGTGTGCAGGAGGCAGCCAATCAGTGATTCTCTCTCATCATTGATTTTCTCTCTCCCTCTCCCTTCCTCTCTAAAATCAATAAAAATATGTTTAAAAAAATACTTTTTCCTTCTTTTTAAAAACATTTTCCCCCCCAGAGAGAGAAAGGAAGATCAGCTGGCTCCTGCGTGTCCCCCACCAGGGAGGAAGCCCACCACCTGGGCATGTGCCCTGGCCGGAAATTGAACCAGTGACTTCTTGGTGCATGGGACAAAGCTCAACCAACTGAGCCACACCAGCCAGGGACTGACCCTTCTTATAGATCTTACTGGGGAGGTGGGTGGGGCACCAGCCTGGGGTCCTGCCTTTGGAATTCAAACCAGGGCACAAGTTCCTTATTTCCAGATGCCCCAGCACTCTCAGCTTCCTAATAAGCCAGCCCAGCTTTTCTTTCCTCTCCCTTCACGTGGCTCCTTTCTGCTCCAGCTCCTGCTCCCCACGGCGATCCTGTTGGAGTCACGAGCTGGTTCTCAGCCTTTTTCTGCTGGAAAGCTGCGCCCCGGGAAGGGCCTGCAGCCACGCCAGACTAGGGAGGCCCCTCTTCCCCCAGGAGCGGTGCTAGCGCGCACCCTGGTGGCAGGTAGGGGAACTGCAGGCGTTCGGTTCCAGCTCCGCCCCCGGGGGCAAGGCCTTCCAGGTCACCTGGGAACCTCGGTCCAACGGGCAGACCTGACCCTCCATGGAGGCCCTGGCTCCCGGAACTAAGCTGGGATCTAGCAGGGAGAGAGGGTGAGGAGCATACAGTACTGGGGAGCCAGAAGGGGCGGGCAAGAGAGGGGTGCGGACACTTGGGAGAGGCGCAGGGTAACAGGGGAGATGGACTAGGGCGCTCAGAAGGGCAGGGCCCCGGCCTGCTCATTCCTGAGCCCGGAGTGCGGGGAGAGAGGGGTGCTTCCGTGTCACCTTGCACATATGACTGGGGTGGGGTGTGCGTGGGGTGTGGGGCGTCCAGAACCCGCAGGCACTGCCTCCCCTGAGTGTCTGTGTGCACGTGTCGGGGAGGGGCTCCCCAGCACTGATTCAGGCTGGGGTAGTGGAGAGGGACCCCTGGTCTCCCCCTCTCCCCAGATGGCATCTGACACCCCCTGTTCCTGTGACTGCTTTGTCCCCGGCCTCAGCCATCCCGGCTGTGATCTTTGCCAAGAACTCAGACCGGCCCCTGGACGAGGTGCAGGAGGTGGTGTTTGTGCCCGCGGGCACCCATGCCCCCGGCAGCCAGCTCCAGGTGGGTTAGGCCTCGCGGGGTGCCGGGGGGGGGGGGGTGTGACAGATGCAGGCTGTCTTCTACGGCCTTTCTCCTCGCTGCCCCCGCACCTGGGAGGCCTCCAGATGGGGGAGAGCATGAGCTTCATGTCCAGCAGCCTGGGCTTCGCCTGTTAGCTCACCTCTGTCGCCCTCAGTTTCCGCATCTGTAAAGTGGGGGTGCTGAGGCCTTCCTCTGAGGGCTGTGGAAGGACTCTCCCCCTTTCTGAGCGGACACTCCTCCCTCTCCCCCCCGCAGTGCACCTACATCGCGGTGGAACAGGTGGCGGAGACCCATGCTGTGATCCTGAGCCGCCCTCCTTGGCTCTGGGGGATGGAGATGGGCGCCAACGAGCATGGCGTCTGCATCGGCAACGAGGCCGTGTGGACCAAGGAGCCGGTCGGGGAGGAGGAAGCCCTGCTGGGCATGGATCTGCTCAGGTGCGGCCCCTGCCCCCCCTCACCCCCTCTGCACCCAGAAGCCTGAGGACCGAGGCCTCCCCCCTCCTCGGAGCCCGGCCCGCCCAGGGCCTCCTCCTGTCTGCGCCCTGCCTGCCTCAGGTCACCCCAGGGGGCCGCCTGCCCCTCCTCCCGGGGCTTCAGCTCCACAGTCTGGGTGGGAGCGCCCCCAGGCGGCCACCTCTGGCCTCTCCTGGCCCAGAATCAGTAGAGGCGAAATGTGTTTCCAATGAAATCTCACCGAGAGTCCTGATTCATCAGACCAGTAAAAGCCGAGCAGCTCTGGTGGGAGAGGGGGTGGGTCAGGGCACTGCTCTGAGACTGCTTTGGGCCTTCGCATGGCGCCGTCAGAGTCAGCCTGACCACCACAGCCTGAAGCTCCCTGCAGTGCTGGCAGGTGTCCTATGGGGCTCGAGCCTGACACCCACCCGCCCTGGCCTCTCTGTGCCCTGGAGCGCCCGCCACCCTCACCCCTGTGCCTGAAGCTTCCGGCACCCTCACCCTCACCCCTGTGCCTGGAGCTTCTGGCACCCTCACCCTCACCCCCGTCCCTCACCCTCACCCCTGTGCCTGAAGCTTCCGGCACCCTCACCCTCACCCCTGTGCCTGGAGCTTCCGGCACCCTCACCCTCACCCCTGTGCCTGAAGCTTCCGGCACCCTCACCCTCACCCCCGTCCCTCACCCTCACCCCTGTGCCTGGAGCTTCCGGCACCCTCACCCTCACCCCCTTCCCTCACCCTCACCCCTGTGCCTGGAGCTTCCGGCACCCTCACCCTCACCCCTGTGCCTGAAGCTTCCGGCACCCTCACCCTCACCCCCGTCCCTCACCCTCACCCCTGTGCCTGGAGCTTCCGGCACCCTCACCCTCACCCCCGTCCCTCACCCTCACCCCTGTGCCTGGAGCTTCCGGCACCCTCACCCTCACCCCTGTGCCTGGAGCTTCCGGCACCCTCAGCCTCACCCCCGTCCCTCACCCTCACCCCCGTGCGCCGGCCTCCGTGTGCCGGGCTGGCTTTACAACGCAGCCGCTCCGCCCAGGAGGCCGTGCTCGTGATCGCAGGCTTGCTGGAGCGCCATGGGCAGGGGGGCAGCTGCCGGGAGGACCCCACGCCCTTCTGCTACCACAACACCTTCCTGCTGGCCGACAGGACGGAGGCCTGGGTGCTGGAGACGGCGGGGCGGCTGTGGGCCGCTCAGAGGATCCAGGGTGAGGCTGGTGCTGGGCCTGCCTTTTGGCAGCCGTGGGAGGGGGCGGGAGGATGGTGGCTGCAGGGGAGAGCCAGTGCGGGTGCAAACCCCTCGCGGGGTGGAGCCATGCGGAGACATGGAAAATGAGCCCCGCAGGGACACACACACACACACACACACACACACACACGCGTATCCTCCCCCTTCCCGTGGGTAAGTCCTCTTGTGCTCCGGCCTGCTGCTCCCTCCGAGGAGCCTTCCTGGGCCCCCTGACGGTCTGGCTTCCCCCTTTCTTGCAAGCAGGCGCCTCCTCATCGCCCTCACCACCGATGGCAGGCGCCCGTTTGTCTCTGTGGCTGTCCTGTCTCCCCGCCACCACCGTGTCCTCAGCGCCAGGCCCAGCGCAGGCCTCCATAACGAACACCCCCCCCCCATCCCCCCCGCGGAGGGGGCCGCAACCTCTCCAACCCGCTGAGCATCGGCGCGGACATCGCGGCCGAGCACCCGGCGCTGACATCGCGGCCCACGCCCAGGCCCGCGGCTGGTGGGGCGGCCAGGGCGCCTTCCACTTCGCCCGGGCCTTCTCGCTGGGCCAGCAGCCGGCGCGCATGGAGGCCGCCAAGGCCCGCTTCCGGGCGGGGCGGGAGCTGCTGCAGCGGCGCCAAGGTCAGGGGGTGCGGGGTGAAGGGGTGAGGGCGGGGGGGGGGGGGCACACAGCGCTGCCAGCCCCTCCCCCCACAGCTTTGGGGCCCCCTTCTGCCCGGGGGACCCCTCACCCCGTCCTGCCCGGCAGGGGCCATCACGGCCGAGGCGATGATGGACATCCTCAGGGACGAGGAGAGCGGCATCTGCATGGACGCGGGCGGCTTCCGCACCACGGCCAGCCTGGTGTCCGTGCTGCCCCGCGGCCCCGCGCGGCCCCGCGTCCACTTCCTCACCGCCACGCCCGACCCGGCCAGGCGAGTGCGGGGCGGGGCGCGGGGGCCGGGCGGGCCCACGGGGGTGTGACAGCCCCCCGTCCCTCCGCCTGTGCCCCGCAGGTCCGTGTTCGGCCCAGGCCCCGGCGTTCGGAGCGCAGGACCCCGTGCGGGCCGCGCCCCGCTTCCGGGCCCGGGTGGACCGGCCGCACGCGCTCTGCCGGGGACACCAGGCGGCCCTGGGGCTGATGGAGAGCAAGCAGGTAACCCCGGGGAGCAGGGCCTCCGGGGGACCCCTCGGGCCCCCACACCCTTCTGGGCTCGGGGAGGAGGAGGGGGCTTGGGGGTGGGAAGAGGGGTTTCTCCCTCCGGAGCCAGCTGCCCAGGGGCATGTGGTGCCCTTTGTCCCTCCTGCTGCTGCCTGAGCCTGAGCCCAGAGCCGGGCCCTTGGGAGGGGAGCTGCGGGGGCTCATCTCTGCTCCGCCCCCCCCCCCCCCCCCCCCGCAGGAGCAGGGGCAGGGGCTGCGGCTGCGGCAGAAGCAGCGGGACCTGGAGCAGGAAGGCCTGGAGTCTGTGAGGGGGCTGCTGGCCAGGGCGGGGGCCCCTCCCTCCCAGGAGCTGGGCGGCCTCTTCCAGGCCTTTGTGGAGAGGGAGAGCCAGGCCTATGTGTGAGCCCCGCGGCTGCTCCCGGCCCCGCATCTCCTCCCGGCCCCGCGGCTCCTCCTGGACCAGCCTAGGACTTGGGCCTGGGGTGGGCCTGGACCCAGGAGGGTGGGTGTGGGATCAGAGCAGGTCCTTCACACCCCTCATTCTGAGTGGCTGGCTCAGCCTCGTCTTAATAAATACGTTTTATTTCTCCTGTGTTTGGCTGATGGCTTCCCTCGAGCCGCCCCCAGTGACGTGGACACGTTCCGGGCCTGGAGACACTTTATTGGGACCGGTCCCGCCACGGGGGGCCCCGGGAGGGGTCTGCTCCTGTTCACTTCCTGGCTCTCCTGGTCACAGTTCTGGCTGTGCCGGGGGCCGCGGCCAGGGCGGCCTTGGGGGCTGCAGCCGCTCTGACCCCCTTCCTGGCCTGCGCGGTGCTTCGGGGGCCCCTGGAGGCCGGGGGGCCCGGCTTCTTGGCGGAGGCGGCTTGTGGCGAGGAGGCCGGCTCTGGGGGTGGCTCCTTCCCCCGGGGGGGAGCGGCAGCCGCGGGGTCCCCGGCCATGGGCCCGCCGGGCGGCGGGGGCAGCTCCGTGAGGACCGGCTGGGTCTCCAGCCTCAGCAGGTGCTCCGTCCGGGCTGCCTGCTGCCTGCGCGCCCTGTGCCTGCTCATGTCCTGCTCCAGCTCCTCCAGGAAGCCTGTGAGGGCCAGGACGGGGTGTTGGGGTGTCGGGGTGTCAGGTGGAGCCCGGGCTCAGCAGGAAGGCCCCCCAGGCTAAGGGAGCTGGTCTCTGGCTGATCTGAGCAAACTGCCCTTCCCGACGGGGAGGAGCCTGAGGCTGGGGAGGGGGCGGAGGGTGGGGGGAGTCACCTGGGTGCCCAGGCTGACATCTGGCCCTGGCTGTACTGTCCTCTGGCCCAGAGGCTGAGCTGGGCTCGGGGCCCCTTCCCCAGAGCCCCCGGGGCGGGGCTGAGCTCTGGGGAGGCTGCCGGCCTCGGGAAGCAGGGTCACCTCGCTCTGCGCAGAACGGGCTGCTCAGCTCGGGGAACTCCTCGTCCGAGGCTTTGTCCTCCTCGTCCGAGTTCCAGCGCTCCGACACCGGCTGCCCGTCCAGGTCCATGAGCAGGGGCAGGGCTCCCGTCACCCGCTTCCTGCAGGGCAGGAGGCAGAGGCCGCGCTGGAGGGCACCCCTGCGTGTGGAGCCTGGGACCCGGCACCGAGCAGCAGCGCCGTGGTGGCTCGGGAGCAGGGAGTCCCCAAAGGGCTGGTTTTCCGTGGCGTTACGGGGGTGAAGGGGAAAAGGGGACCGACTTGAGCTGGGGTGGGGGGGGGGGAGGAGAAGGGACCAGGGACCAGACTCCAGATTTGCAGGCTGAGAGGGGGGCCCCCGTGGAGGTAGCAGAGGGGCTCCGCCATCACCATTTCCTCCCCAGCTTCCATTCCTCCTCACCGGTAGCCGTCCTGGCTGGTGCAGCTGTTCCCAGTCAGGTTGAGAATGAGAAGGCTCTGGGGGAATTCATCTGCTCGAACCAGAGTGGGGAGATGAGGCTCTCATGCCCACCTTCCAGCCCAAAGCCACCGCCTCTCTGCTCAGCCCGCCCCCCTGGAGGGTGCGCGGGCCCAGGGGGGTGGGGGCAGGGCGGAGGGAGCGCCTCCTGGGCCAGAGGCAGGCGCCCTACCCAGCGGCAGTGTTGCTATCAAGTTCTCCGAAAGGTCCAGAAACTGGAGGTATGGGAGGTCACGGAGGTTCTCCACCTGCTGGATTCGGTTTCCCGCCAGAGACAGGAAGCTGCAGGGGAAGGGAGGGGCTCAGAGAAAGCTGAATGTCGGAACAGGGGCTCAGAGAAAGAGCTGAATGTCAGAACAGCCGCCGGGGAGGAAGAGGGCAGCAGGTGCTCCGGCCCCGGGCTGGGCAGCCGGGCGGCAAGTGGGGGCACGTGGCCTTTCGGGGTGAGGGAAACAGGGCTAGGCTCACTGGGTCCTCCTCAGCCGACAAGAAGCCAGGCCTGGAGAGATCTGAACCAGTTCTCTGGGGATGTTACCAGGGTTCCTCCCTTCACCCTCGCCCTTCTTTGCTCCCCACCCCCACCCCCTCCCGAGCCCTGGCCCCCGTACCGTAAGGAGGGGACACAGGCCAGGTTCTCAATTCGCTGGATCTTATTCTGCGGGGAGAAACCAAGGCGGGAACCCAACCTGAGGTCAGCTGGGTGAGGGGCCCTTTAAAGAGACAAAACCCCACCACCACGTCGATGCTGGCAGCTGGGACCCAGGACCCAGTCACCGAGCTGTCTGTCACCGCCGGGGGGTGGCTTGCTTTCCCCAGGTGGCTGGGGAAGGGTGTAAATTCGGGGCAGACTAAAGTGGATGAATGCACACCCTGCTCACCCCACAGCCAAAGAGTGGCCTGGCAATCAGAGAAGGAAACTGAGGCGACGCAGGGAGATGGGAAGGGTCTCGGTGGGGGCGCACACGCACGACAAGAGTCATGGACACACGTTCCTTTGGTTTGTGTGGTTTCTGCGGGGAAAGGCTCAGGGAGCTGGACATACTCATTGTGGCTGAGGCTGAAGGTCACCCCCCCTCACCATCACAGCCTTCAAGTTTCTGAAGGACACAGAGGGATCTCCGTGGCTCCTTCCTCTTCTTCAAAACAGAAAAAGAGCTTGAGCTACATAACTTTAGAGATTTAGAACCAGGCTAGGAGAAGTGTCTGACAACACCACCACCACCACCACCACCAAACGGATTCAAGAACATGCTCTTTTGGGAGGACTGGTTTTTCCATTCCAGAGACTCTGGCTCATCTGGGAACGGTTTCCATGAAGGCCTGCCTGCTGGACACCAGGGAATGGGCTCGATGACCTGGTTGGCTCCTCGCAGATTAGACAGGGTTGGTCCACAGGAAGCAAGGGGAGAGGAAGCGGGGGCGGGGGCGAGAAGTTACCGCTTGCAGGTAGAGGCTGTGAAGGTTCTGGAGGCCCTCTAGGTTCTTGATAGTGGTAATCCCCTCCCGGTCCAGGCGGACGGTCTGTAGCTCAGCGATAGTGTGAAACCTGGGAGGGCAGGCAGTGGGGCGGTGTGACAGAGTGCACTTCTGTGGTCTCTTAGCAGGGAAGCTGGGTGTGTGTGTGTGTGAAGGTTTTTACGGAGTGGATGGCTAAGTGACATCTGAGGAGGAATCAGCCGGGAAAGTGAGAGGGGGTGAGGAGAAAGCATTTCAAACAGAAGGAATAGTCTGTGCTTATTCAGCCTTTCTCAGACTTGAATGCCCGTACATCCCCGAGGGTCTTTTTAAAAATGCAGATTCTCATTCAGTGGGCCTGAGATTTTTCTTTTTCTTTTTAAAAAAAAAAAAAAAAAAAAAAAATATATATATATATATATATATATATATATATATATATATATATTTTTTTTTTTTTTTTTACAGAGAGGAAGAGAGAGGGATAGAGTTAGAAACATCAACGAGAGAGAATCATCGATCAGCTGCCTCTTGCACACCCCCTACTGGGGATGTGCCCGCAACCAAGGTACATGCCCTTGACCAGAATCGAACCTGGGACCTTTCAGTCTGCAGGCTGACGTTCTATCCACTGAGCCAAACCGGTTTTGGCGAGATTTTTCATTTCTAACAAGCTCCCAGGTGATGTTAATGCGGCTGCCCCCTCCCCTCTCCCCAGCACCCAAACCACTCTAAGTAGTAAGGCACTGAGGTGTGAGAACTTGGCGTCTTAGAGGAATTGCACACTTGTGGGGAGTGGCGAGAAATAAGGCTGGATGGGCAGCAGAGGTCAACTCATGCTAAGGTGTTTGGATTTTATTTTGGAAGATTCTATCATGATCAGAAAAGGATCACTTTCGGAACAGCAGGGGGAGCCTGGACTGGGGTCATGGGGGGCTAATTAGGAGTTTGCGAGGTGATGACAGCTTTATCTAAGGCAGTGGAGTGGACACGGTGGGAAATAAATAGAATGATTTTGAAGGAGAGGAAATCAATTTGGCATTGCCACTGATTGAACGTGTGGAGTAAGAGAGGGACAGAGATGAGCTGACAAGTCAGTACAGCTGAAGGGACTGGTCATTCCTGGGGACTTCAATATTCCAGCACCCTTCTCTCTCCCTGCACTCACATCCTCTCTGACAGAGCCTCATCCTCACGGAAGGTCAAGTTCCGCTTAGTGATGAGGGCTTCGGTAATGCACACTTCCCCTTTCTCTGGACTCTGGGCGAGCTGAGCTGTGAAAAGACAGGTTCCATCGTTACAATCCCTTATTCTCGGAGGCCTGACCCTCCTGTTCCCCAACGGCTCTACCTGCCATCCCGTCTTCCTACTCACCTCCAGGCATGATCTAAAGGCTGCTGGCCTGGGGCGGGATTGGCACCAAGAGCAGAGTTTGGATAGGCCTTTGGGGATGGCGGGATCCAGGATGGTATGAAGAGAGAGAAAGCTCAGAGACTTAGGGGACAAGGGAAAGGGGTTGATCCAAGGGGTTGATTCACTTCTGCCCAAATTACTGAAGTGGGGTAGAAGACAAACGGAAACCGAAGTGGAGGGCCTGGAGTTTGCGGGCGGCGGAGGGGTTTTGCTGGCCGGAAACTCTGCGAGGAGAGCGCATCCCCCTGCAGAAGCGCGGTTCAGCCGGTTAGCGCTGTTGCTAAGAGACCGACGCCAGGGGTGGAGGAGAGGGAGGGCTCGCCGCGCATGCATAGTACTGCTCCAGTAGGCGGGCCCTCCCACCGCTTCCGGCCCCAGGTATCCCACAATCCTCAGCTCTTTCCGTCTTACTCGGCTCCCGTCCGTTCTCCCGAAGGCAATGGCCGCCGCCGTGGCTGGGATTCTGCGAGGCGGCCTCCTGCCCCCGGCGGGTAAGGAGCGGCCCAAATCCTCACGGCGCGTTACAGCCGGTGCTCTCCAGCCCTCGGCTCCCCTCCTCTGCTTCCGGTTCCTTCCCGTAACCTCTGACCTCTGACTCCAGGCGGCCCCCGGTGACCCCCAGCTAGATCGCCCGCCGCCTCCTTCCCCAGTCAGTTCCCCGTGACTCCAGATTCCAGTAACAACCGCAAACGGCGACAGCGTCAGCCATGCCACAGTGTTTATTGTCTACGCCCCCAGCATTCTTTGGTCGGTTTTGCTCGCCTCCAGTTTCCTTTGGACCACCCCGGGCCCCCCAACCTTGACATGATGGCTCCTTACGATCTCAGCCTAAATGTCACTTTCTTAAGCCTGCCCTTACCACCCTCTGCAAAGCAGGTTTCCCCTGTTACATCTGTACCTTGCGCCCTCTCGTTAGCCCTGTAGCTTTGCATTTATTTATTTGTCCATCAGACTTTATAAACTCCCGAAGGGCAGAACCAGCATAAGCAACAGGTGTGATAATGCCTAACAGTATTAGGCATGCCTTAGGTGTTTAATAAATGACGTTGAGCGCACTAGATAGGCCTGGTACAGTGACAGATGTGGTATATGTGTTATTTACATCTTAAAGCACCCGATGAAAAAGCATTCTCGTCCCCTCTTTACCGACGATGAAACCAGTCAAGTTCCAGAGCCTGTGCATTTTTAATTGTTAGATTTGTGGTCCCTGGCAATACAAACTCACCCCAAGAACTCTCTTGACTGGTAGAGCTACCTTCTAGTTGAACCTTTCCCTGAGATCTCATCCCAGGCTTGGGAAGGGCTGAACGTGGGAAGCCGTGGACTGAATTCTTTTATTGAGGATGAAGGGGTCACTCGGGCCCAGTATGTTGAGTAGTTCTCTTGTCTTCTGAGGGGTGCTCTCTGGCAATGCCTGCCAACTCGATGAGCAGAGGGACTGGAGACTCGTTTGGGGGAGCTCTGAGGGCAGTGTAACTTCCCCCCTCCCCCTCTTCAAATCGTGGGAGATGGCGTCAGAGCAGTGGATTTCACCCTTCAGCATGCATCGCCTGGAGGGCTTACTCAAACATGCTGGGCTCCACTTCAGGTTCAGAGGATCTAAAATGGGGCCCGAGAACTGGCATTCCTAAGAAGTGCTGCTGATGTTGGTTGGTGCTCAAAATACTTTCTCTTTGGTTTTCATCCTCCCCCTCCCCCCAGTCGTGCACAAAAAAATGATGGAAAAAAGTAATAAATAATAACCAAGTACTGGAGAAATGGGAACCTCAAAGGATCAAGCAACTGAACTAAGGTCAGCCATTAGGAGAGAAGGTTTGGGGATTCGGGATTTCTAGCAGGAAATTCTTCATCCCACTTTGGGCTCGGTTCGGCTCTGTGAGCCATGGTTGTCTCTGCCCGGAGAATGGCCCTTTTCTCCACCCAGGGCAGACTAAGGCCTCCAGGATGCTGCATCTCACTGCCCTGCTATTTCCCCTGCCAGGCCGGCTGCCCACCCTCCAGACTGTCCGCCATGGTTCCAAGGCTGTTACCCGCCACCGTCGCGTGATGCACTTCGAGCGGCAGAAACTGATGGCTGTCACTGAGTATATCCCCCCGAAACCTGCGATCAGTCCTCAGTGCCTGGCTCCTCCCTCCAAGCCAGTCCAGGAGGTAAGAAGCCTGGGCATGTTACTTGGTGGTGGTCTGGTGGTGGTCTGGTGGTCTGGTGGTCTGGTGGTGGTCTGGTGGTCTGGTGGTGGTCTGGTGGTATGGTGGTCTGGTGGTGGTCTGGTGGTCTGGTGGTGGTATGGTGGTCTGGTGGTCTGGTGGTCTGGTGGTGGTATGGTGGTATGGTGGTGGTATGGATATGGTCTTGTATCCAGGACCATAGTGAAGTGGGATTCCAAGACACAGTCATCCACATCATTACTTCTCGCTTTGACCCATGGCCCAGAAACCTTAAAGTGAAATCTTCACTTGGTTTGGCTTTGGCCTTTTGACCTCTGTGGATTGGACGGGTCTCCTGAATTTCCCTCATTCCTAACTTGTCTCCAAAAACATGTGGGTGGAAGCTAACCAAGTGTGTGGTGGTGGCGGCGGGGTAATTGGGGAGAGGATCTCTGTCCTGTCTTGAAGGACTTGAAGCTTCCACATTATTCTAGAAGAACGATAGTGGTTTTCTGTTTTTAAAAAGAACAGAAAGACCAGTGTGAATGTGGCTATCGAGCACTTGAAATGAGGTCAGTGTGACTGAGGATCTGAATTTCTGATTGTATTTAATTTCAATTAATTTAAATAGAAATAGCCACATTTGACTAGTGGCTACTATACAGGGCAGATCTAGAATCTGGATTTAGCACAGTAGTGAATCTTCCATTTTTGCCATACATGCATTAATATTTTCATGGAATTCTGCAAACAGCACCATGACTTCTAAGTCAAATAATATTGACTGGGTCAGACTCCGACCAGTTTGGGGGACTCGGTGTTCTCAAGTTGGAAAACACGGCTCTATTGACCGCTTATCTCTGAAAACGAAAGGATAGAATGGAAGCTGGGACATGTCCCTGGGAGTCAAGGGCCCAACTATCCTGCTTGTACCTGATCTTCCCCCGCATTTGGATTCATCCCTGGGGGAGGTGAGGGGGACGGAGAAGAAGCTGCTTAGGTCCCCTGGGTTATCCCTTCCTGATCTTAGGAGACAGGCCTCATCCGGCTCATCCGGCGGGAGATAGCAGCAGTTTTCCAAAACAACCGAATGATAGCCATCTGCCAGAACATCCCCATGAGCTCGGAGGACAAGCTGCTCATGCGACACCGGCTGCGGAAACACAATATCTTGGTTAAGGCCTTCCCTAACCAGGTAGGGAGCCACCTACCCATGGACCCTGCCTGTGTTCCCTTCCCCTTCCCCTGCCCCACAGACCCAGCATCTCTCCCCGAGGGCACCTCCGACTCCTCCCCTCCACTAGCACCCTCTCGTCTGGTGCCTAAACTGCCATTAGGAGCTGAGGAGACCCTCTGGTTTCAGCCTTAACCGATGTGGCCTGTGCCCAAGGCGGGCAGCTCTTCCTCCCGCTCGCCCCCAGTGAACCCTCTTTCCTGCTGTCCCAGTTCCTGAAGCCCTTCCTGGAGGGCTCCAAGTACCGGAACCTGCTGCCCCTCTTCGTGGGGCACAACCTGCTGCTGGTCAGCGGAGAGCCCAAAGTCAGGGAGATGGTGCGGGTCTTGAAGAGCGTGCCCCTCCTGCCGCTGTTAGGTGAGCAGCTCCCCTGCCAGGTGTGTGTGTGTGTGTGTGTGTGTGTGTGTGTGTGTGTGTGTGAAGGGAGCGGGTGCTACAGCCGCCCAGTGCTGTCTGCTAGGCACCTCTTTGGAGAGGAATCCTCTCACAGATGGGGCCTCCGTCAGCAGCGCCATTAGCCCAGGGCTGCCTGTGTCTCCTGACACCTGTGTTGGCTCGCTGCCTGCATCCCTTATGCACGGGGGAGATTAGGGAAGGCAGAGAGGACTCTGCTGGGGGAGGAAGTTCAGACACTGAGTCTTTACTAGGTGCTAAAACCCAATGACAAAGATAATGAAAACAAATAGCAAGTATAGATGCTGAGGAACAGAGAGCAACGTTTCCCAGACTCCCTGATACTACGAATCCCTAGAGGCAGTGTTTCTCTATAGAATACTGATTTCATAGTCTCTGGGAAGGGGCAGGAATCTGTTTATAACCCCCCCCCCACACACACACACACAAACACATACTCCATGGTTCTTCAAGAAAGTTAGAAGAAAAAAAAGTTTAGGAACAGTGACTTAGAAGGGGTCGGACCAGGAGGATGATTTACTTAAGGATTTTCTAGAGAAGAGTTAGGAAGGGGCGAGGGGATCCGTCCCAGACACAGTGTGAGTGGCGGGGGGGCACACGTGGGAGCAGGATGGGAGGTGGAGGAGGGTAATGGAGAGCAGTTCCTGGGCTGGAATGTTCCAGAGAGGAGAGGCGTTTGTGGGGAGCCCACCTGACCCTGTGCCTTCCCAGGCGGCTGCATCGACGACACCATCCTCAGCCGGCAAGGCTTCATCAACTACTCCAAGCTGCCCAGCCTGGACCTGGTGCAGGGGGAGCTGGTGGGAGGGCTCACCCTCCTCACGGCCCAGACCCACGCGCTGCTGCAGCGGCAGCCCCTCCACCTGACTGCCCTGCTGGACCAGTACGTCAGACAGCAGCGCCAGGGGCACTCCGCCGAGCCGGCCCCTGGGCAGCCCGACCCTCCCGACTCTGCCCCGGACTCACAGCCAGCCTGCCCGTAAACACCCGCCCGCTGGCCGTGCCGTCCTTGCGGAGGAACTTGGGGTGGGAGGGGCACGTGTTCCCTGGCTTCTACTGACGACGATGACCTCAGAGGAAGAAGGATTTCATTTCAGAATGGCGGCTTCTGATCTCCGTCTTTGCCCTTCGTTTTTCCAACCTGGGACCTGACAAGAGCAAAGTGTCAGCTCCACGCTCAAGGCAGAGGCTGAGCAGATGAGGATATTGCCCTCTGCCTCGTGCTCACTGTCCTTGGACTTGCCTCCCCAGCCGCCCCTGGTTGTCAGAGCAGCTCAGCCCAGTGATTGTTCTAAGGATGGGTTCTGTGGGAGCCCCCTGTGCCAGGCTGCGTGCTGACCACTTCCTGGGTGTTAGTTCTTTTGTTCCCGGGGCAGAGAAGTTGCTGCCTGCCCGGGGTCATGCAGTTGTAAGAGGCAGAAGGGCTTGGGCCAGGCCCTCTGCTCTGAGACGTGCTCTGGATTTCCAGAGCCGCCTCCGTGAGGCCCCAGGTGGGCTTGGATGTGAGTTGTCCATCCTCGGTGTGCGGTGTGGTGGAAAGGCTGGGAACGCTGCTTTATGACAAAAATAAATGCATTTTAGTCTGTTTTGCTGTTTACGAGCTTACCTTCCCTCTCCGCTTATCCTCAGGGTCCTCTCTGACCCTCACTTTCCCCCCTAGAAAGTCCTTCCTCTTTCATGTCCAAGCCGGTTACTTCCCTGTCCCCACACCCACAGATGGCGGCCCCCAGCTCTGCCCAGCAGCTCACACGTCTCGGGCGGTTCTGAGCAAAGGAGCTGGGGGAGACCAGCATTCTGCGAAAATGAGGGGCTTTGGGGCTCTTAAGTAGGAGGGGTCATCCAAGTCTTGGGGAACAAAAGTGCCCAGTGAAGGAGAGAGGATATTGAACTGGAAGCTGCCTCTTGTCCTTGGCGCATGCGCTGGGTGGACACCAGGGTGACGTGGGGAGAGTGGCTGCTGAGCCTTCCTCCTGGACGTGCGACAGGCCCAGCTTCCCAGCCTGGACAGGCACTCTGGAGCCCGCTCTGCAGCAGCTTCTCTGCCTGGTCCCGGACCAACGCCAGAGCCCAGCTCTCTGGACACCCAGGATGCTCTGTCCATGTGAAGCGCATTGAAAGGCCTTTGAGGCTCATGGGCGCCAGAGCTGATCTGCACAGTGCTGCCCCCCACATCCCCCCAACCCCCCACCACCTCCCAGAACCACAGGTGCAACAGCGCCCTCCCAGGGCGGTGAGCTGTGCTGAGGCTCTGAATGGCGCGGAGAGCAGGCATCTCCTGAGAGGTGTAACACCAGGAGGGGTCAGCCAAGGCCATGTGGGCACAAGATGGATGGGGGAAACGGCCTAAAGCATTTCTGAATCAAAGCAGAACCCCACATTGCACCCTTTACCGGCCGACGGAGCCCGAGGCCCCACCACTAAAAACCCACTTTCCAGAAAGGCCTCTCTGCACGTGGCTGTCAGTCAGCTTCATGTTCATTCCAGTGGAGCTTAGACCTTTCTCAAGAGCCCGTTTTAATTAGAACTGAGCACGCCAGCAGGGCAGAGGTGCTCAGAAAGGGAGGGTACGCAAGTTGGCTCCAGCTAGCCAGCTGGTTCCCCCCCTGACCCGCTCCTGGTGCAGACCCAGCAGGCAGGGCTCTGAGTCCCCCACCCCCTGGGGCCAGGGCAGCCTCTGGGGGGCCATCCGCTGGCTCTGTGGAGCCGTGACCACCCTGCTGCCTGTGCTCTCCGCACGGTCCAAAAGGGGCATCCGTCCCTTCCCACCCACCTGATACCTTCGCTGGCTCCAAACTTTGCAATCTATTTTCAGATGTAAAACGAGAGACAGGCGGGAGTTAATAATAAAATAAATGGATGTGGGTACTAACGGGTCAAGGCCAGGGTGAGTCTGAGTAAACCCTTTCCCACCCCTGGCTCAGGCCAGCTGCTCCTCGGCCTCCTCAGCGCTGGGGAGTCACTGGGCCCTGAGTCCTCCCGGGAGCAGGGGGGCAGAGCTGAGCAGCTGCCCAGAGCTTGGCGGGAGGAAGAGCGGGGGAGGGGACGGTGGGGAGGGAGATCCGGCTGAGGGGAGGCTCCTCTGCCTCCTTCCTTCCTGGTTCCTGCAGCAGCGGTGCGCTGAGCTCCATGAGGAGGCAGCGGGCGACCTGGGCGCGGTGACTCAGAGGCAGGCGGCGGGCGGGCCGAGGAGCGGGCGTCCATGGACCCTGCGGTAAGGGGCCGCGCGGCGTCCGCTGACATCCTCCCACCTGAAGCTGGCGGGGCTGCTCCCCCGGAGAAGGGGACTGGGATGGAGGTGGAGGCAGAGCGCTCACCTGCCTCCCCGCGACCCCGCACCCTCGAAGGACAGAGCCTCTCCCTTCGGCGGCCAGCGGTGCTGGGCCGGGGTCCCTCGGGGCCAGGGAAAGGGCACAGGGACACCCAACACCGGGAGAGTTTGGGAACTTTCAATGGCCGAATGCGGGAATGTCTCCCCTCGGTCAGCGCCTGGCAGCAGCGGCCCCTCTGCCCCCACCTCCCGGCCAGCCCGGCTCCCGCCCGCGGCCACCCTGGCCCTGCTTGTCCCTGTTCCCTCCGGCCTCCGCTCCTCAGGTGCCCGCAGGCTTCACCGAAGACCTGAGCTGTCTCCCCAGCCTCCGGCCAGCCTTGCCCCTCCGTCCCCTCCCCCGTCGCACACACAGAGCCTCATGCATTATTGATCTCCCGGCGGAGCCAGGACAGCCTGAGCCGGTGCCAAGGGCGCCTGTGGGCACTGCTGCAGGGACCTGTGCAGACCTCGGCCTGTTCCTGGCCAGCTCCTCTCCATCTGCTCAGTACCCTGCTCTGGGTGGGTGGTGCTCCTCAGGAACCCAGCTCTGGGGTGAGAGAGGGGAGATGGAGAGGCTCTGGGGACACTGAGCCTCTGAGGTGGGCCTCCTAGGGGGGTGTCTGATGGGAGGAGGCACAGGGAACCAGGGGGCTGGCCCAGGCCTCAGTTTCCCCAATGCAGAAAATGGGAGCCCAAGAACCAGAGGATCTGGGGACCAGTTAGCGGGGAGTTGGGGTGAAGGGGCCCTGGTAGAGGGGTCTCCAGGTCATGGTGGCGGCGGTGCAGGTCCTGAAGGAGGGAGGAGGAGCTGGGCTGAGATCTTGCTTGTCTCGCCTCTGCACCCCTCTGGCCTTTTCTGGAGCCTCTTTCTTCACTCCTCTGCCTTGCTCTGATCCTCCTGAAGAATCCTCCAGAGAAGAGCGCCCAGTGTTTCCTGGAACCCAAGATTGTGTGCTCAGGGTGGGGCTGGGTGGCCTTTTCCTGGTTTCCTCCGGGCACCGGCCTGCCTCTCTGAGCTGTCTCAGCGGCCGCAGGAAGTGGAGGCAGGGAGGCCCACCGAGGTGAGGGAGGGACAGACTCAGGGGAGCGGAAGGTGCGTTGGTGAAGTGTGGTCCTCGAGGCTGCAGGGCAGGTGGGAGGTGGAGGAGGCGCCAGCAGGCACGGCGCTAACGAGGTCTCCCTCTCTCTTGCTTCCAGGGCCCCCTCAGGACAAGGTGACATCCTCCCCTCCCACCTGCTCCGGGTCCTCAGCAGGGAGTGGACGCTCCCTTCTCCATGGACTTCCAAGAGCGGGGCCCCCCCTCGCTGTCCGGGAGCACTCAGTCTGCAAAGTCCGGCAGTGCCCAGCAGGTCAGAGGGCGGGGAGCAGGCGGGGAGGGGGGGGGCTGTATTTGGCCCCAAGGGCCCTCACCAGCACCCCCTCCCCCCACTCTGTCCTGGACCGCAGGCCTCCGAGCTGTGGGAGGTGGTGGAGGAGCCCCGGGGCCGGCGAGGTGCAGAGGGTGCCCTGCCAGAGAGGCAGGAGGGCCACCTGCTCAAGAAGAGGAAGTGGCCTCTGAAGGGCTGGCACAAGGTAGGTTCCGGGGCAAAGGGCCAGATTCAGGGCGGCATGGGGGGTGCTGGGGGCTGCTGGGTAGCGGGGTGTGTGTGTGTGTGTGTGTGTGTGTGTGTGTGTGTGATGAAGGGGAAGAAGGGTCCATGTGTGTAGCTGCTCTCTCTCCCCACACCCTTTCCTCTCGGTCACCTGGGTCCCGTTCCTTCTGTTCTGTCCTGGTCACAGAGGTACTTCGTGCTGGAGGACGGGATCCTTCGCTATGCGACCACTCGGCAAGATGTGAGTCAGGGCCGGGCTGGGGGTGATGGGAGGAACGGGGTCCCAAAATGCCCTGGGCAGGCAGGGGGCTTCCGGAATCCCCCAGCGCAGGGTCTGAATCCCAGGCACACTATTCCCGGGGGTGGGGCCTTGAGCAGGTGTCTTCCCTGGGCCTCTCAGAGGGGAGAGTGCGATCACCCTGTGCCAGGTCACTGTCCTCTTGGTGCGGCCCCCAGGACAGTGCCCGGCACAAGAGTGCCCGAGAAAGGGGAGCTTGACCCTCCTCCTCCTCGTTCTGTTCTCGTGCTGGGAGTAAGGAGCTGAAGGACAAGCAGCCCGGCTCTCTAGTCCTCAGCCTTGCAGACCCCCGAGAGGGGGGCGGGACAGTTCTCCCTGCTCCGTGCCTCCCTGGAGCTCAGAATGCAACTTCTGAGTCGTGTGCACAGAAGGAAGACGGAGGTCCCTGCTGGTGCTGCAACTTGGTTATGAGGGTGAACTTGCTGCGTGGTCTCAAGTGGCCTCTGGACATGATGGCTCTGGACCCGGGGGTCTAAAAACATCCCCCTTTCCCCACTCTCCCCCCCACCCCAGATCACCAAGGGGAAGCTGCATGGCTCCATCGATGTCCGACTGTCTGTCATGTCCATCAACAAAAAGGCCCAGCGCATTGACCTTGACACCGAAGACAACATCTACCACCTCAAGGTGACATCCCGGCAGCCAGTTGGTGGCTTGGTCCCCAGCCTGGCAGAGGCACGGGGGCACCCAGGAGAGGGGGGCAGGGGCTGAGGGTCCGTCCCTGAGTTTGATCAGAAGGGAGCTCCCGTCGTGTCCAATGGCCAATGGCAAACCGCCCCTGCGGGTTGTTACATGAACAGACAGACCTCGGAGCTCGGACATCAGGGAAGCGGGGCTCCATCTCCTGCGGGGGCCTTTGCAGAAGCTGGACAGAAAGCCAGAGCCCCAACTTCCTGCCTTGGAAAGCAGTCCTCCTTTCATGTGTCCGTTCCCCGCCCCCCTACATCTGCAGATCAAATCTCAGGACCTGTTCCAGAGCTGGGTGGCCCAGCTGCGTGCCCACCGCCTGGCCCCGCGCCTGGACGTGTCCCGCGGCCCGCTGCCCAGCAACTCTCACCGGAAGGTCAGATGGGCGCTGGGGCAGGAGCCGTGGGGTTTGGGGGTGGTGAGACCCGGGGAGGTGGGCACCGTCCTTCCTGACCCTTGGCTCACCCCACAGGGTCCCGGTGCCCAGCTCCCGGCAGCGATCAGTGCCTCCGCTCTGCCCGGGGTGGGGCCTCGGGAGAAGGTGTCTTCTTGGCTGCGGGGCAGTGACGGCCTAGACCGCTGCTCTCACGGTGAGGGGCCCTGGCATCACGGCTCGGCAGGCAGGGCCCACACGGTCAGGTTGGCGTGGCATCTGCGGTCACAAGGAGGAGAAGGACATGTTAACATGGCACCT